TAAATGTCCTTACAGAAAATCTAACTGCTCATTTTAAATCAGTACTTTGACTTTTAATACTTAACTACAACAAATATCAGATACTTCAAGAGTTTTACTCAAGTAATATTCCTAAAGAAGACTTTAACTTTTACCAAAGCCATTTTTTGTAAGATACTTGTACTTTTACTCAGGTATCACTTTGTGGTACTTTATACAACACTGCCACTAAGCAGCAGAGCGTTGGGCAGGCAAAGGTGCAGACTGGCTTCGACGGGATCACAGTGTAAACAACTCACTAAAGTGTTAGCAACTGGAACCAGGGGAGTGCAGCAGAGGACCAAGCAGCCAGAATAATCCAGACTGAGACTGCAGACATGAAACAGGACACAGTTAGACTGAGGACAAAGTCTGAACGAGGCCAAAAAGACACTTGGAGGACCCGACTACCACACAAGGTGAGTTAACCATCTGGCAACTGCTTGAAGCTGCTCCTCTTCATACCGGGCCGATTGTCTCAAAACAGGCTGCACCTGGAACCAGCTGAGCCTGTCCCACCCTACAGAAGAAGGAGAAACACACACAACTGCACACTGCTACTAAAAACACAACAGTGTTTGCTCTTGTCTATTGGTTGATGGCTGTGCCTTTTTTTTCTCTTTAGCTGAATTATAAGAAATATCTGTATACGACATGATAAATTATAATTCTGTACAGTGAAGCCTGATTTAAGATCTTGTCAGAAACTGTAAAAAACAGCCCCAAGCTGATAGTTCTGGCTTTTCTTTTAACCTCTCTGGAGAGTCTTCAGAACCAGGCACACATTTCTTCTTCCTTTTTTTTTACATTGTGCACATTACGTTTTTCCTCTTGATATACTACAAATAAACCAGTCTGTGTGAAAATGTACTTTCAGTGTACTTCTACTTAAGTTTATCTTGGCCAAAATTTAAACATTAGTATAGACTAAGCATACTTAGACTCAGATAAAAAGTAAAAAAGTGGAAGTATACTCTTTTATTATTTTTTAGACTAAAATTAATATACTTACTTGCATATACTATGTTGTTGGTAAGGGATCTTTATTTTAGTTTGCTTCCAAGCAGCCTGACGTTCCTGAGCTCTTTTTAGGGTTTTTAGGTCAGATTCATCTTTTCCTAAAGCTGCTCAAACGACAGCGTACTGAAGGCTGAATTTCTTGTGACCATCAGCAGCCATGAAACTGAAAGAAAAAGAAATTAACCGTCTCGGACTTCCCCTGTGAGCCTGTGCTTGACTTCGCACCTCTGTTCCTGCTTTTAAAAATAGCACCGTGTTTGTCTGCATTTAGTTCACACTTCATGTTTCTACATGTTCAAAACTTCTGCAAGACTGTTTCCCTCAGAAACTCATTTTAAATAGGGATTTATTTTTTATTGTTTTTTTAGATTTTAAAATATGTTCAGTATGTTCATGGGAGCCACTATCCTGCAGGTTTTAGTTGTTTCTCAGAAGAGGAAGCTCAGACTCTGACTTTGACTCTAAAGGTTCATCATGGGGGACGAGACAAAGGGGACTTCCTGAGCAGGGCCGGTCCTTGTCAATTTGGTGCCCTGGGCAAGATTTCAGGTGGCGCTACGTGCACAATTTTCAAAACCTCACTGCCACTTTCCACACATTCAGACTAAATTAAATAGTTTTGTCTTTATTATTATATTTTTTATATGTAGCAGGTTGTTTTAATTAAAATATTTAACCTGGCAACATCTGCTGACATCATGACGAACACATGTTCATGTTAACCAGCAGCTGTGGACTGAAGCAGTTCTAGGGGGGTCCAGGGGTAAACACACCAGAAATTTTGATCACTCAAAACTCTGCATTTTCCAGCATTTGAAGAGATAGATAGATAGATAGATAGATAGATAGATAGATAGATAGATAGATAGATAGATAGATAGATAGATAGATAGATAGAT